TCACCAAGTATGGCGATGTCATAAGTGTAATCTAAGTTGGTCGCGCGTTCACACGGAAGAAGCTCTAGGCCAAGTTTTTGGAAAACTTTTAGAGCTCTCGATAGGACGTCTTAAATTGCGAAGCTGAAGAGAAAAGGGCACATAGGGCAGTCCTGTCTCGAAGGATGAGAAAAGCTTGCCGTAGACACACACTCTGCTAGGGATATGAAGATAAAGTGCACTTGGGAAGGCGATATGCTTATCTGGCAACCGGTTGGTTGGTAATTAGTACCATAATGCAGATCAGTCAATGTAGTAAACTGTAACATGTTTGTTTATGAATGCAACGTTGGGGAGTCTGTGGTAAATTTGGTGGTGTTGGAGTTGGCGGAGCGTGTAGAATTGATCAAAACATCCACCACCAGAACGGAAGCATGCTTGTTCCTTACAGTAATATAATTCACGTATTGGGGATAGTCTGCGAAGCATAATAGATGCCAATAACTTGGAGGCAACCGAAATGCCACTCATCCATTGGTGGTTGGCTCATGAAGTGTAGGTAACATTCTTAAAAATGGTGACAATATCTGATTCGCCCCTAAAGTAAAGCATTTCTTCTTCACACCAGAATTTTGCGAGCAACGAAGTTAACTGGTCAGTGATTGCCACGCCGCCGTATCTGAACAGCTCCGGAAGAAATCTGTCTGCTCCGGCAGCATTGAATCGTCTCAAGCGTGAAATCTTGAGACAGGCTTCTTTTTCCTCGGTCGCTTTCCCACCTTGCCAATGAGAGAGTTCGCAGAACTCTCCATAACCAAAGTGGCTTTCGTCCAGTCAGAGGCTGGACTGACCAAATCTTCACACTATATCGAGTACTCGGAAGCCGCTAACACTGCCAGCAGCCCATGTTTGTGTGCTTCGTTGATTCTGGAGCTAGCTTTGACTCGGTTGACCGCAAAGCACTCTGGAGAATCCTACTTGCCGATGGCTTACTGGTTCAATTCCTTAACTTGATGAGCTCATACTACCTTTGCACGAAGGCCCGGATGCGGGTTTATTGAGAAGAAATAAAGTAATTCGACATCAATATGGAGTCCGGTAGGGTTGCTCACTTTCTCCAGCGCTGTTCAACTTCGCAGTTGACTAGGTTATGCATCATGCCATTGAAGGCTATCGTGGTGTTCAAGTTAGCTTTGAATTTTGGCTGCCAGATCTAGAATTTGCTGGCGATACCGCTATTCTTGCGGAAGACGCTATATCACTACCATCACTGCAAAATCGGGTGAACCAATCAGCCTCTGTACGCTGCCTCGAAATTAACATCAGCAAAACGAAATACTTCTCATTGTTAGCCACTCAGTCCGCCCTGTCGCTCTTCTTACATAGACAACTCATCTAACCTGTTCTTGAGTTCAAGTATCTTGAATCCACTATAATCCCCAATGGTCAGGCTACATACGAAAGCCGGAATCGTATTGACGGCGTTAGAACAGCCTTCTTACAACTGAGAAACATATTGTGATGAGGACGGAAATTGGTCTAAGAACGAAAGTCCGAGTATTCTCAGCAACCATTGGTGTCATTTTATTCTATGTTTGCGAAACATGGCCGCTGCGATCCGAATACACCCGGAAGCTGGAACTCTTCGACTATTGGTGTCTAAGGTTTACCTTGAAAAAGAATTGGCGTGAGCGTATCACCAATGACGGAATCCGTAAGCGCTGTTACGGTCTTCCGAAGCTCATACCGCTCATCCAACGTCGCCGACTTCAGTGGTTCGGTCACGTCCTCCGCAGACCAGACACTGACTTCACTAGGGCCATGGTTTCACCCTTTCCTTGCCAGTATTGGCGTCCTCGCCGTGATGAGCAGTTGAATACCTGGCTCACTGCACTGAAATCGGATGTCGATCTTCTGGGATTCTAGGTTGTGCATGGTGCTCGTCACTAGAGGAATCATTGGATCAGTATCTGCGTGGAACTTGCTGCCGACCGCCGCACTTGGGCAGCTGTAATTTGCGACATTCATGAAGCCGGCTCATCTTGTCGCAGGAGCTAGCCGCAGTCAAGTAAAAAGTTGATCCAGTGTGACGAGCCACGATAAGCAACAGAAGGTACTGCATGCACGGATGGACGAATTACGAACAAAACGGCCCGGCTAACTGTTCTAAACGCCTTTGCTGTTTAGTGATTCGAGACGCATTCACCTCGCAGATAACTTCAAAAACACCAGGCTTCCTGAAGCCAGTGGATCGAATGAGTTGGAAAATTTTGCTAGCGTTGCTAGAGAGGTCAAGTCTCTAACTCCAGACCGATCGGACAACCAAGCCTCGCAATCATTGCGCATGCTTTGCTTGAGCTGCTGGTTGGCAGGGCAGCGTTGCACGCTGTAATCTGATTCTGTAGCGATATATCTACGGGATTGGAACAGATCCAGAGCTCGAGCAGTGATACATGCCTTTAAGAGGCGTCGTGCTAAGCCGCAATTCGATTGTCCGATGTGGTCGTTGCTCTCCATATACAAGTCCAGTGTTACTCAGTGTCTTTTGGTGCATTCCAACTAGGTGCATCTGTCAGTGAAGACTGCTAGCTCGCCTAGGCTGAGGCATCAATTAATCAGTTCGCATGTATCTTACAATGTTTTGCTGTCCCCACAAACCACGTGCATATTCTCCTGCAGTCCAACACATCAACTAGGTCAATGAAGACGAACACATAGGACCTGCAATCCCTTACGCTGCCCCGCCATCTGAAACGGATTACAATATGATCAATTTGAGACCACGCTTGTGTTAGCAAATGGGGACATCAATTTGCTGAATATTTTGTCTTATACCTGACTTTGGTGCTAGAGAAACAGATGGTTGTCTTCGCACAATGTGAGAAGCCTCTTTTCGTCATTCGAGTGATCTTCATCGAGCACGTAGTAACCTTGAAAGTGACATCCTTATGTTAGCCGGCGGCTAACCTGTACAATGTAATCCCCAGGGGGGACAACGATATGTGGTTTGTAAGCGGTACTCAAAAACCTATGAAGCTGTAGGTAAAACTGACCGTTTTCCGAACCACTACTACAGTCACTTGGAGCATACGCGGAGATCATATACGAACTGTTTCTCTTCTCGCGACATCTGTTGATTCCATATGAATCCCGGAGCCGAATTACACACAGTCGGCTGTTAATCAGGAAGAAGTCCAGAAGTGCTGTCTCAGCCCTGCGGCTTAGTGAAATACCTATACTAGCCAATGCACTAAGATTGCTTCTGGGTCTCCAGAAAGACGGAAGTGATATGTGGCTTTGTATTTAGTGAAGAGATGTGAGTGTAAACACATTTCTGGGGTCCTGCAGTCGGGTTTCAGAAATACGGCAGACGTCGACATCGAGGGACTCCATGGTGCACTCCAGACCGAGTTCTTGTAACAATTCCACCATCCGCATCCGCTGATGTGACAGCGTTCCTGACATGGAAGTGTTGCACCGGGGCAACATTCAAGGGGTGTATTGTATTCGTCTACTCTGAAACATGTGGTGTCTCGGACACGCCCATCTGATGAATGCTACTAGGATACCAAAGCATAGGTTGCACAACCAACTACGCGCAGGGTAGCGTGACGCGCAATAAGCGAAGGTACTTTATCAGGACATAATCAAGATGAGCTTGTCACGAGCCATCGTTGAATTTTGACGTTGGCAAGCAATTAAAGTGGATTGCAGCCGGCCCGTGGCTGTAAGGGGTCACAAATCTGCCTTGTAATCTTGAGGTCGCGCGTACCAGCCTGCCTTGTGGACTGGGCCACCCAAGCAGTACTCTTAGCCCAAGCACTACTAGGGATAGTTGCGCGACAGCGAAGCGTCGGTACTGCGTACAGGCGTACTGCTGATGCCTCTATTGTAGCAGGGTGAGGAAAGGCCTTTATGCAAGTGATAGTTTCCGATGGAGCCCACTCGGTTACGTCATGCAGCTGGTGCTGCAACTAAATGAAGTCGTGTGTGCATCAGCCTAGCCGGTCTGATAATTCACCAACGTGGCTCCAAGGAATCTATATCGAACAAGATAAGAGTAGATTGCATACATTCAGCGGGCGGTGTGTAAGCTGCTTCTAGTTTCACTTACTAACCCAAAACATTACTACAGCTGATGTGTTACGTGTGTCATATCGTCTCAGTGCAGTTAGTCAGCACTTATGTTTTCGTTTTCTTGCATAGTTGAAAACGTTTTAAAAGTGATAACTCATGTACGGCTACCCTTTATGCGAATATTCACTGGGCGACTACCTGTCCACAACCACCCTTCGTTTACTGGTTACATGATATCGTCAATCGTTGTTTCTTGCATAGGCGTGCACACCCTTCGTGATGGTGCTTGATTCATAGTTCGATTCCATTTGGTGTGGAACGAGCTAAGGCATGCGCGCCACCATGCGTACCTCTGGTAAGCATGTTTCTTCGCATTCATATGAGAAATCTGCATTTTGACGGGGTATGGATAGGCTCCGAATCAGTCGTTGCTCCAATGCACTTACCACCTAGTTTTAATGGTTATGTCATGCACTGGATATTGGTTTTGTAGATGTGGCTAGAGTTAGCGTAAGATAAGCCACCCATATTCCCAATGCATGCACAGGCGTTCTGTGGCTGTTCTCAGTGACAGTGAAACCGGACACATTTGCCACCAGCCATATGTTAGTGTGCGCCTAAACATCTTGCTAGTAGTACATAAAATAGACGTCCAGCTATTTGTCACTTTTCACCACAACGTACGCAGTTCTTCGAAGGATTAGGTAGTTTAGCTGATTTGATATCCTGCGCTTCACTTATTCAAAAGATCTGTGACTATCCTGTGACACGAAGGACGGAAAGTTCAAGCATTTGGCCCAGAATGCGCCACGACACTGTATGAGGACGACAAATGAAAAACGGTAACTTTTATATTAAATCGTAACAATCGTCAGAATGTACATCCTGTAACATTCTTTTTTACTAAAACCGTAACGCGCACTTCCTCTGTTGATTAGAAACAGTCAATTTCTCCTCTCCTCGGCACCAATTGTGATACAAACGGTTTTCCTTGACGTCTGAAATTGAAAAAACGCACCACGAATTGTTGTACTGCCCAGCTGGTATGACGAGCAACTATGTATAGGATGAAATAGCATAATTGGGGAAATTCAGCAACCACAGTAACAGACGATCTTGCGCCTATCATTTGCATGGGTATTTACGTCTGGGACAGTCCGATCCTCACATTCAAATGCGCATAGTGTTCTTAAAATGAGTTAAGTACGCCGCCACAGACAAACTCTGCAAAATACTTAAACCTAACCATACAACTGCGGTCGAATTGTCCTCTCAAAACTAATCTGACGCCGCTACTGTACATAGTACACTGGCTTACGTAAACAAAAATAGAAATGATTAGCTAATATGAATACGGTTGCCGTAGATTAGAATTTTTACAGTACTGTTTGATGGTTTTGTTCCGTGTAACGTGCAGCCGTGTGAAGTTAAGGAATTTTCTAGGACTTTTCTGGGGAGAACAATTCGTTGCAAAGGGGCTAACCCACAGTACTTTGCAACTGATTCAGTCTGCAGTTACAGCTAAAATTGCATGAATACTTCGCTAGTAACAGTTCACACAGGTTCAATCTAGGCTTTTATGTCACTCAGCTATTAAATAAATTACATATTGTGAGTAGGGGTTAATGCTATAAAGCCAACCAACTTCAATTACTAGGACATCTGCTTATCATCCGTTCTGTGCGCCTAGTATACAGGAACCAGCTTGAGCTGCAGGAACTAGTTGCGGCAACATACACACTGCAAGTAGAAGCTTATCGATGTGATATGATCGGTTTGGCAAATGCGACACCTCATTCGGTCAGGGATCAGGAATTCCTGTTAGACATCATGATGGAACTAAAGTTGACTAAAGGTAAAGATCATTAGAAATTAACCTCTAAAATAGATTAACTACTATCTCGTCTTCATCTATGTCAAGCCCGGCCACCTATGCCGGCCAGTAGTTTGAAGGTAACATTGTGGTGTTTTAGTTCGGCAGTGTGGATTCGTACCTGTGTAGAAGGTGGGCGACCATCGCGGTATCTTAGCCCACGTGCGACCGGTGGTAGCTGCACGACAGCGAAGCGTCCGTACTGCGTACCGGCGTACTGCTCATGTCTTTTTTTTCCGGCCATCTTTGTATATGGAAGGTAACAATTAATTGGTAGTCAACAAATCCTCTGTAGCAATTGCGACTGCAGTATCCAGTAGATCCCCTTTAATCAAGCTATTCATTTCCGGTACATAGGGAGGAAGTATGTAAAACTGTGGTTGCTGTTCTGGGATGACAAAAAGCAATGTGCTCATTGTTGAACACAAATTACTCTGCACAAACTAGTGCACATCATCGCACCCGAAACTGCGTAACACTTGGTAACAGTGTGGCAACCAAAAAAACGGGTATAACGAATTTTCTCAGATCTACTTGACTGGCACGTCACAACCTGAGAAGAGCATTGTGCACAATGCGATGTTTGCCGTAGGCAACCAGTGTCAGGCGTATTTCTCTCATCTTCGTCTGGCTGTTGCAAGCGCTGCATCATCATCAACGGCAGTACATCAGCCATTTGAACTGATGTTCGCTGCCGTACAAACATTGACACCTACGGAGCGAACAGGATAATATTACTACCTGGTCTCTGCGATTGTCCTAATCGGCTGGAGTCCGCGTAAACTTTTAACATGAACTAGATGGAACACTCGTCAGTGATCTAGAACTAGACGAAACAAACTAGTCGACATAGGCGCTTTGTACAGCTTGCATCCCGTGCACACACCCCCGAGAGGATAGAAAAGAGAAAAAGGGTTCATCAGAGTACTTTTACGACCCAAAGGAAAGGCAATTATTTGGCCGCACAAGCTCGGTTTTACATGGATATTGGCGAACAAGTCTGCGGAGGCGAATACAAAGAAAGGCGAAGAATAAGATCTCAGAAGTCGTGGGCGTGTACCGGGCAACAACGTTCACATACAATGTGTAAGCAAGTGTGAGCAAGTGAAATGTGGGTGTGTCAGACATAAGTGGGGTGTGTCCGGATCGTGAACTTACGGGGGTGCAAAGTCTTAATCACGACTTGCACGACTTTTCTGGGGGACAAATGCCGCTCATAACAGCTTGAGAAGGTGGGCCTAACGTAAAATATTAATGCCCCAAACAAACATTCAGGGTCAAGGCGCACGTATCTTGTGTCGACAACATGCCGTCACAAACATCTGGCTTTCGTGTAAAAAGCAAGGTGACATCTGTGAGAAAGCTTCCTTGCGGCTTTCACTGCCCTGCGTCATAATCAGCAATGAGCCCGCAGATAAGGCAGCGCCAAACACTTTAAGAAAGCAGTCTGGCTAGTAGACGACAGCAGCCACGCTATTGGTGCCGACTTCGAGCCATGTCCTGTAAAGTCGCGAGCGAAGCACAAGGAGGGTGACGTGGACTCCAACCCGGAGGGCTAGACGGGTCGTCAGTGTCTCTATTTCACGTTGTCAAATTAACTTTTGCCCACCTCGGGTCTCGTACCATCCTAAATCTGGCAAAGAATACAAGGCCTTTACCGGTAGGCGGTAACCGGGCGTGTGTTGTATGTACCTAAGCCAACGCAGCGTATTCATTGCTATCGAATGTCCTGAGGAACAATCCCGATTATCCCAACCTGGCACTCCCCTAAGCACATAATCTTTGCAATCATGCTGGTCTAATTCGAAGCCCGTAATGCTTCGAAGACAACGAGAAATAATGACATGAAGACACTTCAGATCTCCGTACCGAAGGAGTCAGGAGTCTCACTTCCGTGGACGGCCCTCCTGGTTGCCTTGTAAACACGACCTTCCCGACCCATAGAAACCCATGTCTAACGCCACAGATGTCGCAGATGCAAGAAGGCAGTTCAAGATCTTGCGATACGTGAACGGAGTTCACTTTTTACGTATTCAGTGTTGTTGATGCAGTTTCCAGTTTAGGTGAATCTGTCAAATACATCGAGTTCATCGCTTTAAAGGGTCACTGGATCATCATGTGACTAGTGGTCCTGAAACAGCACTTTGCACTTTGAAGGTACGAAGCACTTGTCCGATTATAAGACCAACCAACGGAGCTTATTCATTGCTAACTGGACTTTCTCAACATCGCAAAAAATGAGACGATAGCTTCCGTATATATAAGATCAACTAGCTTTTCACGGAACGTCACTTTAAAGAACGCATCGTGAAATTTCAGAAGGAAGTATTCCGTGACAGATTTCACGACATAATTGAAGAAAATTAGGGTATTGAATAACCATGACAAACACCACTTGTTGTTCGGAAGGCATCCGAGAAATCACCGCAGACCTTGACATAGCCTATCATGTTCGAATACAGAACAGGAAATATGTTCGCACACCTCATGGGAACACGCTTCCGAAAAACTGTTTCGTACAGAATGCATCCATCGACTGAATCGAACGTACTCTTGAAGTCCAGGAACACAGCCATTTTCGACCTGGGATACGCGTTGCGCTTCTTTAGCACATGTCGCAGACTGAATATGAGGTAAATACAGTCCCGTTCTGGGCGGAAGCCTACTTGCTCTTCCCTGATCCTAGATTCACGTTTCTCTGTAAGGCGACAAACGCTTTTTGAGGCCAGTTATTTTGTCCCCACCGACGTTAGACCAATAGCTGTCTGGTTAGCAGACGGCGCAACTGCCACTATAATTGATTCATTCCAGTTAGCTGGGGTTGTCTGTTCCCTTCAGACCAGTTCTAATAGGGAGGTCATGGCTTTACAGAGGACTTCACCAACATACATAATTAGTGCGACTGCAACGGAATCCGGGCCATGACTCAGTACACATCACCTGAGTCGGAAGAGGTCTAAGGGCAGGGAGCCAACTGATTATATCTCCAAAGCACTTCGCTAATGAGGCATATGACGCTCCTTATAGTGCATTACAGCACCCGCGCTGTCTCTGCTTGTCTTGCTGACGCTCGGTTTTCCGGGTCCAGAGGTGTGGGTCAGTTAGAAAAGCTTACGGTAATGGTCTACTGCTCTCACCTCCTCCATTTCTTGGGCCCTACTAGTACACCAAGCTTCCCTGTCAGCACGCAGGCTTGGCTTTAGTTCGCGCCTAATAGTCCGCCTAGTTACATAGTGCGCAGAGCCAGCCAAGAGGTTTTTGATTCCAACAAGTTCACCAACCTATCGGAAATCCAGCGACTTGTGCGGTGACTATTGATAGTGCCGCAAGCGGCGGTTCCCGCATGGTACATGACGATCGATAACCTATGACAGTGAAGCTCAGAATCATTAATACGAGGGAGCGGAAGTTCGGTACACAGAGCATCCTGATAGCTTTGCTTGGCCGTGGACAGATAATTTTCCAGTAGCCAATCAAGGGAAGCGCTTGGTACGCCTCCCGATAACCTTCATTTAAATCATGATCATAGTCGACCTAGGTATTTCAGAACGCTCAACAGTCTAGTACTGAACCACGCCATCTGTAGCTTATGGCAACTTGGTCTATGTAGATCCATCACTGAGCAGCCATAAGGAGATGCCAAATGACATTTCGGCACGCACTGCGTCTAAAAGCAGTGCTACTGAGAAAGAGCTTGTGTTCCGCACACATCTATGACAGACACTCGCCGTTGTCCGTCTAGTCGAAGTCCATACTTACCACCTAGCTGAGCTTTTGAAGAGCTCAAATAACCTACTTGCGCTTTCATCTCCCCTGCAATAATTACGATATCTGAACTGTTTACAATGGGTAGTAGCTGCGTCAGTCCGTAGTGGAAAGCTTCCATGTCAGGCTGGCTGTTTTACGATATTTTGATGTTGAATTTGATTCCAGTATGATAGAAATTTTTTCGCTAAGGTGGCCAATCGGTGACATGCGTTGCCTAATAAATATGGCTAAGTCTAAAAAGAAGATGCCTTTAAGCGACATAATAGCAATAACGTCTAAGTCTTTAAAATTTGCGGCGAATTTAAAAGTCGTACAATTGGGTATGTTCATTTATCTCATAGTGCGCGTTTGATCCATTATACAACCGGCTGAAAGTACTTTCTAGAATTGGAAAGGCCATCGAACCACGAATTCATCGTCGATTTTTATACGGTTAGTTTGGAGTTTGTTCAGATTAGTTTTCCGGAGTTTCCACAAAATCCACTTCTTCTGACTGTAGGTATGAATCTCATTGTGACAGGGACGACACCGATGGAATAAGTTATTAACCGCTGATGATGTTAATATATTGGTTGCATCGATTTAACTATTTGGGAGCGAAATTTGATCGTTCATTGCTGGTGTCTATGATTGCTCGAACGTTTGCTGAAAGTGGTGAGTAATTCATCACTGGGAGCTGGAATGAAAACCAGAATTTCACTCTGTGCGTTCTCGTCCGCCAAAGGCACATATTCAGAACATAGCATAGTAGATTTGCAAACCTCCTTCAACTACCGGATCGCCAGTACCCAAAATGATGGTTGCATTAACATAGGCGTAGACCTATGTGGTTATTCACGTATGAACAGATGTTTTTGTAGCTTAAGAATTCCACTAGTAAATATAATCAAAGTCGTTCTTCTCGCTAGTAAGCTAAAACACGCCATCAGACTTAAAGTGTTATGCTTACATAAATGCTGTGTAGTGGAATTCGTGACTGCTGGAGGCCAAGGACTGTCCTCGGCCGTGGTAAAAACATGTATGGCAGTGGAGAATAGATTGCAACGTATCCAAGTTAGTTTTCAAAGTATGGCCGTTTGCCACCATCATCCAAGACTCTGTGGTATTACCTGTCGGCTAGCTTGTACAAGGGGCTAGTGGTTATGCACACGCTTCCTTGCAGAGGACCGGGATATTGCACACCAAGGAGGAGCAACTGTAGGGAGAAACGAATGTCTGGTGCTGTTCGGATGGCGTGTTTGCTCAGCTAGCTTTTGAGTGTTGGGACAAATTAGCACAAACTTTGCCACCAGTGTTTGTTAGACCTAATTGTATATACTCATCCACTGAGTGCGACACGTTAGACGTACGAGAAACGAATTCACTAGAATCTGCAAATCAAACGCTGCTCACACCACCACACTTACGCTTCCAAGCACCTGCCTGAGCCTCTGTTTCTAACAATAAGGTGGCAAGTATAGTTGCTCCGCATGACTATCTGTGCATGTTATAGTTATGCGCATTCAATTAGTTTTGGTATGCATAAATACTAATAGTGACACAAATATTGCATACTTTTTCAACTGCACAGCCGATTTTCAGCGCCAGCGATCACATGTCGCAGAGGCTTTTGTTGCTACTGAAACCTTTAAGACAATAGTTGGTCTAGCAAGGAAACTTGAAACTAGCTTAAAGAGCCCAATGCATCAATGCTTGTCATCACCACGAACAAGGCGATCAGGATACTCACTTGGCTGGTCAGTGGCTCTTCTCAACGGTGCATAGGGAGGAAAGTAACGTAACTCTTGTCTTCGTTCTACTGCGGCTAATTCTCAGCTCTCTCATCCGATGGTTTGGTGTTGATTTCAAAACAATTGAAGTTAGCCCACTCTTTATCCTAGTTTCCGTTTCCCTAACATTTTAATTCTCAATTTGCCTAAATTTGTGAAGAAAAGTATGGTTGTTTATCTAAAATCAATTGCCCATTTTTGGTTGGTCACTGTAATGGAGGCATGGTGCCAAAAACTTTCACGTAGAAAGCTATGTGTATGTTGTAAGAAATGAGGAGCAAGTTGGATAAAGACGTGGAACCAGCAGCCAATGCTAAAAGTGGTTCATGTGTTAAGCAGTAGCTAAATACCTGTCCAAGATGGTGGAGAATACTGACCTGAGAGCAAGGATACATCAAAGTATCATCACCTAAGGCTGCAATTATCTTCTTCTCAGAATTGGTAGAAAATGGTTTCATATACCGTCGGTTAACTGGACTTGTGTCGTATAAGCCGCGACTTCGTTGACTTTGTCTAAACAAATCAAGGCTGCCAGTCGGCGTTGATGAGCATTCAGGGTTGTCAAATTTAAGCGAACAGGGTGAGTTTGCAGTGTTTATTGGAACCTTTGGGTTGTGAATTGTGTAAGGAAGCTCGTGCAAACGGGATAACTGATGTTTAGGAGGTTTTCGACTTGATCTAACGCGTGAGTCGGGAACTCCTTCTGAGCATTCACTTGAGTGTACTGTTTTGGCAGGCTTTTTCAGATCACTGAAATCGACTTCTGTATGCTGCGAATCCACCTCGTTTGCCAGGCTGTAGCTTGAGGAAGATATCGGTGGTGTGGCGATCCGGTGATTTGCCAAAGCAACGCTCTCAGAATCTGACGGTGCAAGCCCGCTAGTGGCACTCGTTGGCCAGCTTTCAGTTATTTCACAAAGTTGAATTGGTTTCTCGTTGTCCATACTGTTGGACTCCGTCAGCAAAGGATCAGCACAAAAACCTAAAGAAAGCTGAATGAATGAAAATGCATTTTAATTTAACGTTGTGTTGTGTGGATAGAGGGCACATATTATTTTTCGCCGTGGCTCAGCAGACTCGATGAGAAAATCGTTCAGAATCCGTTAAACCCATCACTGAGCACGTGGTATAGCCAATCAAGTTCAACCGCGTGATGAACACCATGATGCAGGTATGAGGTGTTGTTATGAAGCTGCCGTTAATAAACCTGGTTCTCTAGCATATTAAAGTGACACAAAAATATCATACCAGTTACCGGAGGCGATTCGAACACGCAATGTATCAAGTGCGGAAAGAATGGATTGAAAGTTTTATTATCACAAATTCTACTGCCGGACTCATACAACAGCAAGCGGAGGAATAACTGATGGGCTGCGTAAATCACCTGTCACTTGACATGGGAGCAATTTTGTCACTACAATTCAAGCGAATAGGAGCTCCTTGAGTTACTGAATGTTAACAAATGCTTAGTACACGGGGAAGGTAAATTTGCCCGATGTCGAAACGCATCCTACGTTGGTGTTTGCGGCTGAGCGTAACGCCTTGACCATTTTGTAGTCATTAGAAAGAGGCAACTGCGATACATCAGTTGTAAGGCAAGCACTGGAGAATAAATTCTACGAAAAATACCAGCCGATTACTTAGAACGGGTTCCCGACGCATGTATTGATCCAAGCATCTGTTTGTTACCTGTATAAACTGTACCGATTTTGCGTAAGTTAGTCACACCATCAAAGATTAGCAATGCTATGACAAGATGGCAAAGCGACGCTATGGCAAAGTCTAATTTATGGTACCTTATCATGGTAGCGAGCTAAGAGCTAATTGAATAAAAGCGGTTCGATGGATGACCGTATTACTTTTCTCGAACATTTGTTTACACTTGCGTTTGCCATCTGTCTCAGTATCTTCGAAAACTTCAATTTGCCAATAATTTTAAAAATCCTTTTTGGGTCCATTATTTAACATGGGAGCAAGTAATTTTCTGTGCCATCTCGCTGTAAAATGTGATCAGACCACCCAGTTAGACTGTGTCTTGCAGCGTCCAGAAATATACCATTTATTTAGTAAACGTATCAGAAATCAATAAAAGTCCGTCTGGTTCGTCCTCGTCTAAAAATGCACTTCATTCGAATAAACAGGGCGAGGTTAATAACTTGCAACCATTTGCTTAAGTGAAACATGTCAGAGCACGTACTGACAAAACTAAAGGAATGCGCTGTCTTATATATGAAAAACCGATATTTAAAGCTTAAGGAAACATTTACGGATGAGAGGAGAATGTCAACTTGTTTTAGATAACTGACTAATTCCAATGCGTAGGCAGGCAAGTCTGGCGTCAGGAAAGTTGTCTGATAACTGCGTATGCACAGTGTTTATTTACTCAACCATCAGCGCTTGGTCACTTCTAACGTTCAAATCGCGCTGCTTAACATGATTCTAGACCCTACAACAAACATCTCATGATTTGGCTAAATGTTTGCCTTAACTGCGCCACCGTAACTCACTTGATGGTGGGTGCTGGCTAGCCATCAAAACATGCATTTTACTGTTGTACGCTACTACGCCTCTAAACCAAATTTATCATCGTTCGGGGATTATTGCAACGAAACATTAGGGTTTCTAGGCACATCACACCTGAGCAAACTATGCAAAGTCAACTGATCTAAGCTAAAGCTTGTATATTTAAGAATAACGATACAAAACCACTATTTTAGACTCTCACTGTATCAATATCTGTTCACAGTTCCTTGGTATTTTACTGCCAGTGAGGCCTGGTTAAGGAAGATAATATCGTGGTTAGGTTAGACGTAACTAACTGGACGAATAAACCATTTCGAATGCACAGATTATTATTATGCACAGGTAGTCCTGTGTGACTTCTGTTTAAGGCTAGCATATAACAAGACATCGACGAATCAGATAAGCAACCGCAGTGTCAATGTGTATAGAGCACTACAGTGGTAACCTAGGGATAGATTGCTACTGGAGACCAAACAGCTATTGATGTCAGAATAAAAATGTTGGTGACCCTCTGAAGCTGTGTTCGAATCGCGTTAGCAAAGCGTATTTCACAGACAATCAGCATTGTCATCCAATATGCTTGCTTCAAAGAAAGATCGCTAATCCAAAATTACCATGATGTGGCTATTGTGACTGCTTGTGCTTTGGATGTGAATGATGGCGATGGGTTGTACTAATACGTTGGAAATGTAATTACATATGTTTAATTGTCAAACACATCAGAACTATAATTTTAAGCAATATACGCTTGCTTATACTCTCGTCGAGGAAATGCAACCTGCAACAGGATGCATGAGGGTAAACTTTACTCGACAGGATTGACGGCGATATTGTACAAGTAGGTGGACCTGATGCAGACAGGTGCGCACACTTCGGTCATTTGCTGCTTCATTGCAACTGCAATTACTAATAAATAGCAGAAGGGTACCTCGCTTATAATGTTGCTTGACGACGATAACAGAAACCAGCGCATAGAGTAGTTAAACAAAATGTCTGACCAGCTACAGCTGAGGCAGGTTTCATAAGCCAAAGAAAAGGTGGTTTTGAATAACTTCACCATGTACTTACCGGAGAAATACAAAGCTATTCCCACTACAGATACTTCAAATCGGTGAACATTATAAAGCTACAGAACTACTGCTGGCGCTCTCTTCCCTGTCTGTGATCATGATTTGCTGTTTCTGACAAATCGTAGGCGGAATGAGAGGAGCATTAACCGGATGGAAGAGAATAATCAGTGGCTTATATAACCGGCAATTGCGGCAGCAGCCGATATCATTTCACAAGCAAGTTAGCCATTGTACAAAGCATTTAGCGTGACATATTTTCGAAATCGCGTGCAGCGCTTTCAAGTTAGCAAGGCTAAGAACGCTGTTTCGGCGTTGTTGACACTCTCATTGGTCATGGGACATTGGCCAATGGGACACCGGTTGGAAGTCGCGAGCATAAGCGACAGACAGTCCCATGAAGTGGTCGAGCACCACCTTCTGTGGTGACCATCTGAAGTAAACCTCGATGATTGGTATCCAACCTGAAACCGTCCAATGGGCAACTTCTGATGCCTGTCAAAGGAGGAGATCCTAGCTACCACATGATCCGAAGCTTACGCCGTAACCCGTGCGGACAGACATACTAACCAACACATGAAGCGGTCTACACTTAGCGATCGCTAGCGGCTACCTGATGGTGGCTTATTCAGCGACCTTAACATAACGGCAGGTCCATTGGTCCTGAAGCAGTAACTGATTACTGAAGTGGCCCACAAGTGTGGAGACAAACGAACGCTCACTAATGTCGTGTCAACGCCACATTTAGAATCTTCTTAGTTTGTGTTTAGTCATCAACTCTGATAGAAGTATGCAAACATAGAACTTTCGTTGTTCAGTTTTTGGTTGGTCTACCAACTTCAATGGGAACAATGTCCACAATGGTCGTCGCAATAACAACCGCACAAAATTGTCTAACCGCCTAGCAGCCATTGCTGATTCAGGTTTGGGTGTGCAATGTCCAAGCCACGGCGCTTGCCTGACAGACGGCAAATGCAGGCCTGCCTCACTCCTTCCGATCTCAGGGACTGCAGAATACCAGTTAGAAGATTGCCTGTATACGCCACCATGGTTAGGCCGCTGAATAAGCCACCATCAGGTAGCCGCTAGCGATCGCTAAGTGTAGACCGCTTCATGTGTTGGTTAGTATGTCTGTCCGCACGGGTTACGGCGTAAGCTTCGGGTCATGTGGTAGCTAGGATCTCCTCCTTTGACAGGCATCAGAAATTGCCTATTGGATGGTTTCAGGTTGGAGACCAATCATCGAGGTTTACTTCAGATGGTCACCACAGAAGGTGGTGCTCGACCACTTCATGGGACTGTCTGTCGCTTATGCTCGCGACTTCCAACCGGTGTCCCATTGGCCAATGTCCCATGACCAATGAGAGTGTCAACAACGCCGAAACAGCGTTCTTAGCCTTGCTAACTTGAAAGCGCTGCACGCGATTTCGAAAATATGTCACGCTAAAATCTAGGTACCATGCGCCAAGTGGTACATTCGCTTAAACGGTTTGCGAGCAAGTTCCCTGAAAGCAAACTGATGAAGCAGAATAATAATTTTTGGTATGAAAATTTCTCTGACATGTTTTTGAAATGAGTTCCTCAATCTGATTTCAGTGGACTACCCCTTTGATCTCTGGGGTACATCATGCTTTTGCATAATAACACGCATATTCTTGTGACATTTTTTCCTCGAGGAGAGTAATACAATCTATTTTTCTTTTGTACGAATCCATGAATTCTTGCACCTTAGATTTTTGCGTCCTCTTCCCTACCAGGTATATTTAAATTGGTACGGCATTCTCTGTGCACTCCTTCGACTAAATATATGCATTGTACATTATAAGATTTAACCCAATAATCATATTAGGTGCGCCGTGGCTCTTCTGTTTAGGTGGATTGCGCTTAGTTTCCGCACAATAAGAATGTGGACAGCAGACGCGGCGAGCAGGTTACCTGTTGGAGCCGCTCACCGCTATAATAATAGCAGCACCAGAAAGCGGATTTCCCACACAAAAACATGTTTTGTAGCCTTGTCTAAAAATTATATTGATCTTTACGAGTTTTAAATCCGTTAGCTATAAAGCCATTTTAAAATACACCGGAGAATAATCACTAACTGTTACATTAAAGTCAGAGTGCGTTAGGATTTCGCAGTTTTGTTTTAACTGAATCTTGGTAAACGTTTCCATTTTGTTGGATTCGTTCCTAACTGAGAAGAAGCCTTTTTGTCGTATATGAAAAAGTGTTTGCACACGTGCTGCAACAACTAGTATGAAGCCTTACCTGCATCGTGAATAACAGTGCGGCAGTATTGGGCTGACATTTAGCTTATTTTCATTCGCTTAACAACAATTCTAATAGTGACAGAGCCCTTTCTGTAAGTAGTTGTATCAATTTTACTATCGTTTCATAGGGAAGAATATTTGCCCAGTCTCTAGGCTCTGAATGGTTCTCAAACGTAACTCACCATTGGTGATTGTCAATACCCATCTAACTGTCAACATTGGAGTGTACAACTTTTGTCCCCTCCCATTTTGTACACGGCCACTTCCAAGTGCCTTCACGGCCTTACCGAGCTGGTGTTAGAAACGCATAAATTAACAGGAAATTTGCAGGTTTAACAGACATTTTTTGACGAAAATTGATTTAATAAAGGGACGATTAAGGAGGCATACACACCTACGTGCTGTCGATAACTAAAAAAACCGTTTTGTAAGATACCCACTTGTTTGTGACTGGCTGCTTTTGACACTCGAAATGGTGATAGTTTCGTGCAGTGCTTTTAGGCCACATAGCACTTCCGCATGTATCCCTTGTTGTTATTTACTAATAGGATGATCCCTGTAATTTCATGTTTCATGGGTATGAGGAAAATTAGTAGTAGGTTGACGCTAAACCTTAGAATGCCAAACCATAGAACAGACTACATCGCTAACCGAGGCAAATTACCATCTCTTAACGTTGGAACAGCATAATAAGGACCACTCACATAATTTCCTTGACGACTGAACTCAGATATTCCTTGACCGAGTAGTTGTGAACTACCGGTCTCAGGTGACTTCGTTGCGAAACAGCCATCAGTTTGTCCATGAGTTGAGGGAGATCCAGAAAAACCCGGTTGCAAAACTTCTGCATATCCAGATGACAACATTTGTGAGTCAATGAAATCAAAACAGCTGTCATTGAGAGAACTGAGTGGGTTTGATTCTTCCGTACCCATAATTACATCACCAAATAGCCCATTTGTTGCAGTTGGGATGTCATTTGACTCCACAGCGGTTGTCGTACTCAAGCTGGTGCTGACTTTAGGAAGCTGTGTTAGCGGGCTAGAGGCCAGTTGTTCCAAGCGGTACGAGAGATATTCGTCGCATAGCGTTCGCAGCAGGTGGCAACTGCTGAAGCTGACGGCCGAGCGAAGTGTTAGTTCGCGCATAAGTAGAGAGCTGTCATGAACGTATGGAGAAAAAGGAATGCGTAAAGTAAATTAAACTGTGGACGATTTACGATATCGAGTTTGTGGGAGTACACGCTAATTGAATTCATAGGCATCATGCTGACGATGTGTAAAATCCATCACAATAAGTCGTTTGTTAACCTTGAGCCATGCGTCCATAGCCCGAAATCCATTTAGCAACGAAAGATCTAATCTTGCGAGGAATGCATGTATCCTCGAGGCTTGCGGAATGAATTGGTTTTTATCTTGTCTGCCTGTTACCCAGTGGTCTATGCGTCTGATTTGCAATCCTAAGGTCACCCAATCGAATCCGCGTAGGAGTGGGCTTCCGTGCGTTATACTCAGTCCGCGCGCGACCGATTGTGGTGGCTTGGCAGTGAAGTGCGTTTCCAGTGTACATCTGGTGATTTATTTATTTATTTACTATCTCTTTTATTATAATGTACATGAAGGCCAACCATTCATGTGGGGCATGGGATGATTTGAATAGAAATACAAAAACATATGATGGCTAAGGCTTTTCCTAACGTTCAAAACACTGACACATCACCAGATGTAGTGGCTTAAAGTTGGGCATTATCGATGAGAGCATCTTCAACTCTCACCTGTAGTAGGTCCAAACAAGCATGAGTTGCCTGGCGGCACTAGCACGCTTTGGCCCAGAGACTCTGTTAGCCAGACTCCTTGCAACAATCTGATCTAACCATGAAGTCCACGTGGAAAGAGAGGCGTTGCACATCAGTAATCCACACAGCTCCATATGTATTTCTGCCACACTGATACGCGGTGCATTCTCGTCTCTCCATTGTGGTAAGCCGAGAAAATTCGGTCCAAAAACGCTGTTGTCAGACCACTTGGTTCCGACGCTCTGTCCAAAGTGTATGGAGCGCCGATCCGAAGCAGTGGATTCATGAAGGGCGTGGAATTTGGACGCATTCTTATGGTCGAGTTCAGGAGTAGATGCTTGCGCTCTTACAGGATAAATACAGGCATCTGAGACTTCATAACCAGGACAATCACTTGCCCACGAGCCTTGAGCCTGAAAGTAGTGAACATTTTTGATGCATCCGTTACCAACTAACAGGATAGCAATGAGTAAGTTGTACATGTTTTCGACAGAACCGAACTTCCAGTAGTTTTGGGAGTTCACAACCATCCTCAGAGTTATGCTCTTAAACACATACGCGTCTCACTTTTCACCTCAACATTTCTATGGTGTCTTAAGGAAAGTTGGTTTCTTAAAATTAAGCTGATCACGCCGTTGTGTAGCGATGCGCTAAACGAGGTACCGCAGAATCCGAAGGATAAGCAAAAACTGGATGTTATTGAAATGCAACCAAACTAAATATGCAAACATGCAGAACCTTTCTTAACCCGATCGGTTCTCAAATATTAATTTTAACATGAATATCTAAGTATGATACTTCCGTTATTGTCCTTTTGTTTGCTTGTAGCGAGAAAAGCAATAAAGCAAAGATAACCTATAAATGGAGAAAAATTTCTTACCTCAATGCTGTCCAAATCCAATTTGCTGATATCACTCAGCATCTGCTGAATGCGTCCTGGGTCTCGAATAACCGTCACCACAGCTTGGCTGAGATGCACCAACCCGAGGGCCCTCCGAAGACCTTTGGTGAATCCACTCAAAGCTGCCAGCTTGGTATTAATCAAACGTGGACTAAACAAGCGAATTGCCGAGCGAAGACTTGGCTGATAAAAGTAGACAGAAGGACCGCACAATCAGAATGCATTATGCGGACGTGAATTAGCATTCGAGCTGGTTTCTCAAGTTATTTAGCTACTTGTTTTTAAATTGCTGTGAGTGTCCAATAGCTGTACTCGATCAGAGAGACCTTACCTTCTGAATCACCAATGCTGTTAAGTTTGGCTTCGGTTTGCATGCATCGAGTACAGTTGTATGTGCTCTATTCTCTCCCGTAGGTTCCTCAATAACACTGGTTATGAAGCACTGGTAGGGTTGGGTGCACTTATTTCTGCTTCAAATATTTCTCAAAATTTGCTAAGTAAAACGTGTACGCTCGTGTGATGTAGTCCTTTGCTTACATCAAGATGTATGAGATAAAGTAAACTGCATTTTAGTCATGTACCTGGTAAATTAACCACTGTGCAAGTGCGATTGGTGATTGTGCTTTTTTGAGTCTAAGCTTTGCTTTGGCACATTTTGGACGCCGCGGCGTCCATTTTGGACACAGCATTTCGTAGCTTACATAAATCCGCTTTTCCCTCTGGTTTGGACAAAGTTTCCTTTAGAGTGGCCGTTGGTATGTGAGCCATCATCGGGAGACGTGGTTTGAATGGCCTGACCGTCGGTTCTGAGATGTTATTCACCTACGGCAGCCCGATCCACTTAGTCGTTGTTGGGGCAATGGTAGAGTCTGCTGTTTAGGTTTAAAGTAACTTCAGACGAAACTGCATGGGTAGCCGTTGCACAAAAGGAACAAAAGCGGTTGTTTTCTTAGTGGTTATGGTGATAGCCGCCAAGCATTATGCGCTGAGTTCCACTCCCAGCTCGGCTATCTCTACATGATGCGTCTAAACAAAGACGAAACCATCGGTCATGGAGTGCAGGAATGAGAGAGAGCCACACCAAAACCCTCTACTCTTGTCGTTTTCCTTCTTTTCAGTTTACTTCCGCAATGAGGCGGTGTGATTCCTTCCTGTACAGCAGAGTACGGAAGCAGCTTATAGTTTGTTGTTTTGGGGGATTTATGTTGAAGATCGGGATTTGCTCACAGTGCAGACCTTTTCTCTAAACCGAAGTCTTTCGTTATGCTTTTATTTTACTACAATTTAAAGAGCCGAAGAAGGCAATTGGTTTTTCATCTGCAACTTTATGGTGAAAGGAATGCCGTTCATTGTATCAATCAATAACACCTTAGCCAGGTGCAGCTGACTGCGTCTAAGTATCCCAACCATATCCCCAACGAACCGAAAGCATTTGTTTGGATTACTCATTGAGAGTTGGTTCTCTTCCGCTCACTGCTTGACGACCACTACCATGAGAACCAGCTTGGGGCTCCTTCCTCTTGCTCTTTAAAAAACTTATTGACTCTGAGGTAGTTGTCAAGACACAAGTCGAGCAGGTTGCATACGCTCTCTATCGTCAGATTTCCAATGGTTTGCGCTCAAATGTTCAGTTGAGCACTGATCACCTGTATACTGGAAGAGGCAAAAAGGGTTGCGATGTCGAAAGATAACATAATTTGTGTGTCATCTCTTCCTAGGAATTTAAGTCTCCAAAAATCGTTGTCACTGTTTATTAAGAATCGCAATTAGCTGGTTAACTTTTTGTGGCGTTTCCATAATCCTTCAGCCAATTTGTATGATGAGCACCAAGGATCACCTAACTGGTCGTATGTTTGTTTGAGTTCATAATCTTCACTCTGGAAATGCTCCGTAATTAAACCGATTCCGAAAGGCGGCGATCCCAGCAAGGTGGACAAATACCGGTCAATATATCTGACCTCTGGTTTCGATAGGACACTCGGAAAGGCGATGAAGCCTGGTGTTCTGCAGTATCTCGAGTCGAAAAACCTATTGAGGTCCACACAGCACGGTTTCATGAAAGGTCGGTCATGCATCACAAAACTGCTGCTCTCGACGAACGAATGGTTTCAAGCGCTAAACCAAGGGAAGTCGGTTGACGTCATTTACGTCGATTTCGGTAAGGCGTTTGACAAGGTGAACCATGAGGTCCTCCTACGGAAGTTGTATTGGTGCCCTGTTTTTAGCCCACTGCATCAGTGGATCAGTGACTTCGTTGTTGTTCGGACGTGGAGGGTGCAGATGGACAACCACTTGGCCAAGTGGTATACCTCGACTAGTGGGGTCCCGCAGGGCACAGACCTTGAGCCCATTTTGTTTCTGATCCGCATCAACGATTTGCCTCAGCTTCTCAGTTCACTCCGTGCGTTGTTCGCAGATGAATTTAAGGTATGGTGGGCAATTAAGACGCCGACGACTAGATCTGCTTCAGCGTGACATTGATCGCCTCTCCGTATGGTCGGCGAAGGTCAGCTTTCTGATCAAATCGGTTAAGTCGGTATTCATGAACAATGAACAATGAATTGAACAATGAACAATGAATTTATACGGGTTAAGAAGCGTTGCTTTGCAAGTCCCGTTGGATAGTTGCAGGGGATATCAACATAACAATAATGATGATAAGGATAGTAAAATAGTTATTGCTTTAAATATGAAAATAAGGAATTGTCGTTTGCTTCGCCTGTAGTCCTGCTATCCTCTCAGATTCACAGCACCCACAGCTAACAACAGATGATTCCATGGTAAACTCCAGGTGTAGGATGGAGACGTAGTGTTAAGTGACAAAGTGTAAGTGGATGAGTGCTTCGTCCAACCGTATTTTAAATACTGTTAGTATCGATGCAGAGATGACCGATTCTGGGAGAGCATTCCACTCATGACAGACACGAATGGAAAAGAAATTTCTCCGGCACTCCAGACGAGTGAGTGGCCCCTCAGGTTTGTATTGCTGCTGAGTTGCAGTAAAGGGCGGCACACATGATGTGGGTCACGCAGAATCAAGTATGCCATAATCAGATCGCCTCGTAGTCAACGATAGCTTCCACTGAACAATCCCAGTCGTCGCAGCCTCTCCTGGTAGGAAAGCCTGCGCATTCCAAATACGTTCTTAGATGCCCGGCGTTGTGGCTGCTCCAGTGCATTAAGGTCGTGTTTCAGCCATGGATGCCAGGCTTGAATTGCATATTCGACATGGGGGCGAACATACGCACTGAGCATTTGTCGAAATATGGAGCTGTTTATTTGTCCAAATGCCCGCCTCAACAGCCAACGTGTTGGTTCCCGGTCTTCGAGGCCTTTTCGGATTGCCTGGAGCAACCCAATTCATCTTGAACCAGGACACCCATGTCACGTTCGAGAGTTGATTGTTGCAGTACATCCGTTCCGAGTCGGTATGAGTAGCGGCTCTGATGTCGGATGGAAAGCACCTTGCATTTACTGACGTTGAAATGCAATAAGTTTTGGATCGACCATTGATACGCTGTATCTAAGTCCCTCTGAAGCACATGTTGGTCGGCGTTCGCCTGGATCCTGCATCAGATCTTGATATCGTCGGCAAACATTAGGACGTTTGAAGCGATTCCCTGTGCAAGGTCATTAATAAACACCAAAAACAAACGTGGACCTAGAACCGAGCCTTGCGGCACACCACACTCGACTTGTATGGGGTCCGATAACGAGCTCCGAACTCTGACCGCTAATTGCCGTTGAAGTAGCAAGTTGGCGATCCAGCTTAAAAGAGGGTCACCGATCCCGTAATGCTGCAGCTTGGGTAGTAGTATCCGATGGTCTAGACGATCGAAAGCCTTGGAAAAATCCAGGTAGATCACATCAACACCTTCTCCAGCGTCGGCTGCCTCGGTCCAACTGCTGCGTGCAATTAGTACATTCGTTGTACATGACCGTTGTCGACGGAAACCGTGCTGTTCAGGAGTTATAAGGTTGCAGTTTCCCAGCTAGCACACCAGTGCATCGGCAACTATGGATTCCATGACCTTGGAGCGTATACGAAGTAAGGATACTGGGCGGTAGTTGGAGGGATCAGTACTGCTTCCACCTTTGTGAATCGGGCTTATTATTCCAAACTTCCACATGGCTAGAACTTGGTTCTGGTCTAAGCAGCGCTGGAAAAACTGAGCTAAATATTCTGCCAGTTGGCTTGCTGCTGCTCCCAATGCCTCTGGACGAATGGCGTCGACACCCGGCGAGCTGTGTTTGCGTAGAGAAGTCAGTTTTTGCAATAGAGCCTCTGCGGTAAAATTGATGTCGGTTAGTCCTGGCGAGCAGAGTACAAAGCTTGGTAGATCGCTTGGTGGCAAGACGCTTTGAAACGTGGGGGCGTATTGCATCTGCAGCGCGTTTGCAGCTTCCATAGATGTTCTATTTGAGCCATCAGCTGTCTTGAGTGGAGTAAATCCTTGCTTCTTCTTTCGTAGGCTATTAACGTGCTTGTACAGCATTTTGTGGTTAGCACTGAAGGTTGTTGCTATGTTCTGCTGATAGGCGGCTTTGTCTTCTCTTAACAGTTGAGTGCAGTGGTTACGTTGGGCCACGTAGTTGTCCCAAGTTTCTGGTGCTGCAGCTTCTCTGTACACTCGCCATGCTGCGTTGCGTACTGTCATCCATTTTCGAGTTCTGCTTCTAACGAAAGAAGCGGATTTGCACTTATTGCAAGCTTTTATCTCTGAAGCCTGTGCAATCAGCTGACTGAATGTATTGACGAACTCGAGCCAGGCGACTTCCGGGGGTTCTTCTTCGAGGAAAGATCAAGTTGTGGCGCTGACTAGCTGGGCGAGTCGGTCGTACCTTGTGATGGTTCGCACAGTCTCATCGTTATCATTCAGATATTCTGCATAGCAGGCGAAGTTGAAACTGATGACTGCGTGATCACTGCGACCCAACGGGCAGTCTAAAACCAACGCATCAATCATATGCTCCTCGTTGGTAAGCACAAGATCCAGCACAGATGGCCTGTTACCAGTTCTGAACCGAGTGGGCAAAGGGATGTGTTTGTAAAGGGGAACAGTAATTACTAGGTCTTGTAAATCGGTTTTGAATTGTTCTCCGGTCGTGGCAGGGGCTTCTAAACAATGTACGTTGAAATCACCCATGATAAGAATGTGAGTGTACTTTTGTTGTAAACTGCA